GATGGTCGAACGCCTTCTTGGCATCAAGGGAGACTACGACTGTCAGGAGGTTCTTGTAGTTGGCCAGCCAGATTAAGTCTATCGTTCATCTGATGTTCTCCTGGGCTTGTCTATGTGGGATGAAGCCCACTTGTTCTGGTTTTATTAGTCTTTCGAAGAGGTGGTTTAATCTTGTTGTCTTGAAAAGGTTTTTAAATGTTGAACAGTTGAAGTTTGCCATGTTTTCCCAGGTGACGTGTGGTTTATGTAGAGTTGAAATGTACTGTACTATGTTTGAAAAGTTTGTCATGTTTTAAAAGTTGATGTGTGAGGTTTTAAAAGTTGAAGTTGGATGTTTGAAATGTTATTGCCTGATTAATCATGTCCCTGTACAGTATTTGTGCCTTTAAATGGCACTTTATAAAGAGTTTTGAACAGATAAAATACTGTTTTCTGACCTCCGGATTGGATTCATTGGTTTTCAATGCATTTGGTTAACCGCGTTTCGGTTTATGAATTTTTCACAATACGAAACTGTAACAGATGTCTTGTTCTCTTGGAGTTATGTTTTGTTGCAATTCTGAACCTTATTTGTAATTCCATTTGTCTAAATGGTAGATGAACCAAAACGAACAGACTTTATCATAGCTGGTTCGTATACTGAACGTTCTGCCGAACCCTTAGACCACCCAAAGCAGTCGTGTGCCGTCAATTGACCTTATTGACACTGTTCCAAACCGCAACTCTGAACTTTCTTAGTGGGTCACTGGGTGGCGGACGATTCGTATGCATGAACATGTGGAGGCGGCCATCTTGTTTTGTCGAACGCGTCCAGCGGTGTTTGGTCGTAGAGTGTATGGAACTATTTTTGGACACTCAACGGCCAAACACCGCTGTGACTTCCAGGATCACTTAGCTTCGTCCTAATCCATCCAAAAGAGGCAGTGTTTGGTGAAAAACAACTCCCGAACAAAGAGGCACGCAACTAGCTTCCACACGAACAATTATTCGAGAAATCTTTCAACATTTTGAAGGGCACAAAAGAGACCAGCCGCACAAGCTGATTTTATGGAGCTATTCTGGGCAGGAGCCTCATGTACACTTAGTCAGAAATAGGACTTCCATACAACTCCCCAACCCCTAAACCGATCTGAGTGATTTTTGAATATGTTGCTCACCTAGATCAGTGCTATCAGGGGATCTTATGTGATTTTGGAGAGTTTCCAAAAAGTGTATAAAATGTGTTCTTTTTTTCGTTTGGAGACAATTGAGTTGATACAGTAATTAACTCAATTATCTCCAAAGCAGAGGGGAGGGATTGTATGCCATGGTGGGGAGTGCCTCAGATTTTTATTCTATTGTGATTGGTGTATACATGTGTGTCACCAACAAGGTCCGTGTGGGTGTCACCCTTGCTAGGTGACTTGCATAAAAGGCCAGTGTGGCTTCCATTAAACCATAACGGTATGGGGGGGTAGTTGGCATTGTGTAGTGTAGTGGTGTCCGCGTTGATTTGGATGCAGAGGTATGTGAGAGCTGTTGGGCATATACGGAAGGGGAATTTATGTTTAAGGGTAGATAGAGTGGTTCCGGGGAGGTTGATGGGTAGTAAGTCCTTCCGGAATCCGAATTTATTGAGCACTGTGAAGAGATATGGCAAGAGAAGATGGTCGAACGCCTTCTTGGCATCAAGGGAGACTACGACTGTCAGGAGGTTCTTGTAGTTGGCCAGCCAGATTAAGTCTATCGTTCGTCTGGTGTTCTCCTGGGCTTCTCTATGTGGGATGAAGCCCACTTGTTCTGGTTTTATTAGTCTTTCGAGGAGGTGTTTTAATCTCGTTGTCTTGAAAAGGTTTTTAAATGTTGAACAGTTGAAGTTTACCATGTTTTCCCAGGTGAAGTGTGGTTTATGTAGAGTTGAAATGTACTGTACCATGTTTGAAAAGTTTGTCATGTTTTAAAAGTTGATGTGTGAGGCCTTCTTGGCCTGGTCTTGTGATTGTAGGGAACCTGCTACACAGCTATACCACTAGCTCTTGTAAGAGCTTCACAACATTATTGGATCCTTGGTTGGCTGGAGAACCCTGCAGCCCTGCTTCTACTAAGAGAAGAGGACATCTATGGTGGAATAGACCCCTTTACTCTTGGGGTGTCCATCACAGAAACGTCTTGGAGAACGCATTAAATTCGTAAACCGAGGTACCACTGCATATATATATATATGTATATATATATATATATATATATATCACGGAAGCCATGACTTATCACATCAGGCCCCTATGTAACTCTCCTTAAATTGTCGAACCCACTTGTTCCCTTGAGTTCAGTACTGTTAAAATACCGAACACAGACCACCCCCCTGGCTTGTTAACTTCACAGAAAACACTTAACTAAAGTTCTCTCTCTGGGTGGCTGCCATTCGCATAACCGAAACATGGGCTCCAGTAAATGACAGCCATCTTGTCCCCCAGATGCAGGCAGCGGTACTTGGTGGTCGAGTGCGTGGAATTATACCCCGGGAAAATTGCACAGCTGCCTACTCCATCCTCAGACAAGCCAGGAGAGCACTGTTTGGGAAAAATACTCTCCCAAACGGGGAGGCCATTCGCTCCCTACGAGCCAGGGAGAGCCTTTGATTACAAGCGAATAGGAACTCCTGAAAGTTGACGCTATAGAGACGAACATGAAAGACTTTTTAGACCTTAACTAACATTCCATGACCTCTCCTAAAATACTTTGGGTGGCCCATACACTGGTCATTAGGGGCAAACTCATCAGTCTTGTCTCAGCCAAAAAGAAGCAGCTCGTCCAATCCCTGCAGGAAACCATGGCAGAATTAAAATGCCTAGAAACCCTACATAAACGACACGCTACCTCAGCACACCTTATCCAACTTACCTCGGCAAGGGAGTTACTGAAACACCTAACCCTGACCGAAACATCTAAAGCCATGTTGTGGACCAAACAAAAGTTCTATGAAAAATGCCACAAAGCCGACACTATGTTAGCACGTCGCCTTAAAATACAGTTAGACACCAACATAAAATCTAAAATCTGCGCTCCTGATGGCAGCCTTAGCACCAATTCCAACACAATTGGTGAAGTATTCATAGAATACTTCACAAACCTCTACAACCACTCAACAAACCCACCAACAGACATGCAGCACATCAACAAATTCATAAACCGTATCCAACTCCCAGCCCTCCCGGATAGAGCTAAAGCCGCACTTGTCACGGAAGTCACGGAAGTAACCCCGGAGGAGATGGCCGCAGCTCTGGGAACACTCAAACCCAATAAAGGAGGAGGATTAGTTATTTTATCAAAAGAAAAGTATGAGGAAGAAGCTTTTAGACAGCTTAATGAGACTGAGACATATATAAAGTTACTAAAAGACCCTACCCCTGAAATCAAAACCTTATTAGAAGAATTAAATCGAGGGAGAGAAATTAACATCCTAAATACAGATGAATATAACTATTTAAACAAAAAATTCCACAGGACTCCAGTGACATATTTTTTGCCAAAAATACATAAGTGCACTGAGAAACTTCCTGGGAGGCCTATTGTTTCTGGTATTGATTCCATTCTTTCAAATCTGTCTGAATATATAGACATTATGTTACAGCCCTATGTAAAAATTACCAAATCCTATTTAACAGATACCATCGACCTCCTGAATAAATTAGAAAAAATCAATTGGAAAATAGAAACTATGAAATTAAAAATACGATTCCTGTATGAGCAAAAATGTTATTTATTTACTAGAGTGTCCCTGCGGTTTACAATATGTAGGTAGGAATATAAGACCTTTAAAGACGAGAATTAGTACCATAAAAACATAACACACACCCACAATTCCCTCCCCTAGCCCTGGAGATAATGAAGTCTGATAAAGTATTAACTTGATTATCTCCAAGAAGAAAAATCACATGTTCCCCCAATATCTGAGACACCCCTTTATACTTGAGGTATCCCCACAAATAACATGTCCCCTGATAGCCCCGATCTGAGTGACCAACATATTCAAATTTCACCCAGATCGGTTCAGGGGTTCTCAAAAACTGTGGAAGTCTTCTGTGACCGGCTCACCCTGGGCTGGCTGCCCAAAACAGTTCCATGAGTTTGGTCGGTTTTGCCGGTCACTTTAGTAAAAGGGAAAAAGCTAATAAAGTACCGAATGGATCCCCCTGGCTCTCATCAGCGATTGTTCCCCTCTGTCGAATGCACCAAAGTACCGAATAGCGCTCTTCTAGCCATTCGGTAATTAGAGTTCCAGCGTTCGTCTGTTTGAGAATGGTGTTCGGGAAGTCGAGTGTCCGATTTTAGTTCCAGACACTCGACGACCAAGTCCTGCTGCCTTTGTTCGCATGAAAAAAGATGGCCGCGGTTTTCTCAGCCACGTGGCGTTCGGTAGTACGAACGCTGGCCGCACAGATAGAGGGTTAAATTGAAGCAGTCTTTGAAGTTTAATGAGCCAGGGGGTGGTCTTTGTTCGGTAGTTAAATCTACCGAATGAAATAGGGAAGAAATATTATACAAAATATATATTAATTTTTTTTATTATTATTTTTTTTTATTCTAGTCCAAACCCATCCATACGCACTAGACTAAATACACACTGGTTTTACTTTTTTATTTACTCATCTTTTTACCACCATATGCATGTTTTTACTACTGAGCTCACTTTATTGCAGGAATAATACACAAGTAACATGTAAAATTGTTATTATTTTTCCGGTACTATGGATTTATGCTTAAAAGTGCATTCCTGTTTGTTTTTATTTGTAAGAACTGACAGTTGGATGATAATATCTCCAACTCTCAGTATTTTAATTGTTCACATTGATATTAATATATTTATAAGTATATGTTCTTTGATTTTTACCCACAATGAATATGGCCGATGGAGTGGTATAGGGGATATACTAAATTTACCCTCCAATCCCCTTTTCCTTTTCTTCTTTGCCGCTCTCTGGGATGTAAATCTATATGACTACATGTCCCATCTGCCTAAGGAAACACAGAGAGCCAAAATAAGTCACTTCCGGGTGACGCACGCAATTCTATTACTCACCACGGTTGAGACGTCCAGCGGGAAAATATACTACGTGTCCCATCAGGCTCTGGAGTTCGCAGTACATCACTTCCGGGCGACGTATGCGACTCCAGAGAGATCTGGAAGTGGATCAGCACACTGGATTGAAATAATGACAGTAAGGCTGCTTATAACTATCTGGATAGTTTCCCGGCGTATTGATACTTCTGAAGAAGCCCAAACCCGGGGGAAACGCGTTAAGTGGGGACTGGAAGCACTTTTTTAATATATAGATTTTTATATTCTGTATTAATTAAAATGTATTGTTACTTTCCATATCCCTTTTGATTTTTTCCTGCTGCTGTTCTATTCCTGCATACTCTGTATATCTTCAGGTGGGGTTTATACCACCACAAGTCCATATCACCAGAGCAAGTCATTGCTCTGGAAATTGTAAGTAGGATACCTGCTTTTATTCTATTGTATATAATTCACTATTTACTGTGCCATTGGATTTTATTCTGTTTTTTTCCCTATATACGGCTGCTAAGAATTGGATACCAACTACAGCTATTATCCACATATCCTAAGACGGGTATTGTACCGTCCATGCATTATACGACAGAGCTCTTAGCAACTCTGGAAAGTGTGAGTTAGTCTTTTATTGGGTTTTTATATACACATATGTGTTAATAGTTATGTGACATATTGCACTATTATTTTTTCCTGGTTTTATTTCTTCGAGGTTCATATATACTACCATAATATTGGACTTCCTCCAGTGTATGTATATATCATTATTTCATTCTAAGCACTTTGAGAATTGGTGCGGTCTACCACACTTTTTTTTTTCCGTTCACTTTTTGGTTATCATTGGCAGGGATTGGGAATACTTGCTGGTTTACTGCTGCCTTCTATTTTGTTATTTTAGTGAGCACCTAACCCTTGCTGTTTTTTGTACCAATAAGAGCCCGGGCCCTGACGGGTTTGCGGCACTGTACTATAAATCATTCCCAGCCCTCTTAATACCACCCCTTTGTAAAGTTTTCAACGCTTTACTATCAGGGGAACAACTCCCCACTGACATGACCACAGCAAACATTAGCCTCCTCCTGAAACCCGGCAAACACCTAAATGACCCCGGACACTTCAAGCCCATCTCCCTACTCAACGTGGACCTTAAATTAATGACCAAAATTATGACCAACCGACTCAATCAGTTTATAGAATCCCTCATACACCCTGAGCAAGTAGACTTCATCCATAACAGACAGGCCTTGGATAACACCAGAAGAGCTATAGACCTGATTGGGTACTCTAACCACAGAGGGATCCCAAAGACCGTACTATCCCTAGATGCTGAAAAAGCATTTGATCACCTCCTCTGGCCATATCTCTTCAAAGTTTTGACCCACTTCGACTTTCCACTGGAATTTCTACAATTCCTTAAAGCTCTCTACCACAAAGCAAAAGGCTCCCTCCTCATTCCCAAAATTCGCCCCCCCCCCACCTTCACCATTAAGAATGGCAACAGACAGGGATGCCTGTTTACCCCTCTGCTCTTTGCCCTCTCACTAGAACCCCTACTGCAAGCTATTCGCGTGTACCAGGTATTAAGGGACTCACGATCAGAGGAGAACAATTCAAAGTTGCTGCGTACGCAGACAACATCCTCCTGACCCTAACCACCCCCAAGACATCACTTGATGCCCTCCTAACACTCCTACACACATACTCCAAAACATCGGGTTACCAACTAAACCTCGCAAAATCCGACTTTCTGCCCCTACAGGTGGACGGTGCAACACTCAAAAGCATTAAGGACTCCCTGCCCTTCTATATCTGCTGAACTTCAAACACGTATCCTGGCATAAAGCTGACAAAGGACACAGATACCCTATACCACGCCAACTTCACACCTCTCTATAAGACGGACCATGAAGATATAAAACTTTCGAGCCCATTAAATATCTTGTGCATAGGGTGGATCACAACAATAACCCTACATCAAATCAGACTCACAAGAACTAAACAAAGCAATAGACACCTTTATCTGGAATGGCCGCAAACTGCAAATTCGAAGGAACACCCTTTACGTCCCTAAGAAATCGGGTGGACTGGGCCTTCCCAACTTTACGTTGTATTTCCAAGCAGCACACTTAGCTCAACTACAGCAATGGCACCTACCCCCAGGCAAAAAGAGATGGGTGGATCTTGAACATCTGACGTTCGGGTGGGACCACCCATCACTATACATCTGGGTCCCTAAACAACATTGGCCACTAACTCCTTACACTCCACCAACAATCTCCCACACAATCAACCTATGGGACAAAGTAAAGGACTCTCCCCACTCATATTTTACACAATAGAATGTCCCCCCCAGCCTCACCCCAAAACACTTCGCACACTGCAAAGATAGGGAAATCACATGACTGGGACACCTATTCCCGAACGGGAAACTCTTAACCTACCCCGAACTCCCTGACCAAGCAACCCTCACCACTTACGACCACTTACGCTTTATACAACTTAGAAGCTTTGCGTCTACCCCAACGATCCAACAAACCGGCATAGCCCCTCTCACCAGCTTGGAAACAGATTGTATTTGATTTCCCATGAGAAAAGGCCAGATTTCAGACATATACCTCTCCCTGGCCACACACACATCAAACATCGCAACATGGGAGGAGCCAACAGACTAGGCAGACATATGGCAAGCCACGGCCTGCCTCATAATCTGTGTTACACACCTGGAGCAGGCTTACAAAATGCTCTTCAGGTGGTATCTCACACCCCTTGCCTAGCAGCCATGCAAGCCCTCCCCAGCAACCTGTGTTGGAAACAATGCGGTTAAAAGGGCACCTTCCTATACTGTTGGTGGAGTTGCCAAAAGCTTAAACCCCTCTGGGGCAGCATCCAAACACTACTTACCAAACTGTTTACCAAACCATTCCCCCTCAATCTCTGGGCATTATTGCTCTCCAAGCCCATTGACTCCCACACCCGGAGCGAAAACAAGCTGGCAGCCTGTATAGCCCTGGCCACGAGAAGAGCCATAGGCGAACTCTGGTCCACCCCGAAAATCACAACCACCCGAACTATCTACAATAAAATCCAAGACAGCCTAGAACTAGACAAACTCACAGCTCACATCCGAGACTCACCCAAACCCTTCCACAAAACTTGAGACCCCTGGCTGGAGGAATACACAATGCCACCTTGGTGAACCCACGCTTATTACCCCCTCTTCATGACCGTAACGGCCAGGGCAGGGGTTGCTGAGCAGCAACTCACACCTTTCCTAACACCACTCCCCTTTAACCCCACCTTGGGGAACAGGGGTGCGGACGCCCAAAACCCATCCAAGTTTCCTAACTCCAACACATCCTACCCCTCCCTATCACATTACCAATCCCCTTCATACTTGCATGACCAACCACATGGTACCTCCGAGGAGACCTGAAATACCTAGACCGGGGGACAGGAGACACTCCTTCCGACAACGCCATCCCTCATCCTCACCCACCACGACTGACGAGATAAACCACACAGACAACCACTGGCATCGCCCAACCTACAGACGCCCACACACAGCATACATACCTACGTCCTACAGACACCTAGGACCTTAGGCACAGAAATGGGAGCCTTGGCTAAGGAACAACTGCTGACTTACATAAACACACTACCTAGAGTCAACCAACGAGAGCCCAGAAGCAAACCCTACCGACGAGTTTACAGACCGCATCAGGTTCAACTAACCACTTAATACTCAGTGACCCTAGACCAGTGGTGGCGAACCTATGGCACGCGTGCCACAGGTGGCACGCCGAGCCCACTCTGTGGGCACGCGGCCATAGGTCGCCGGAGGGAGGGAGGGCGCGCTCCGCCGGCGCATCCCTCCTGCCAGGCACTCTGTGTAGCGTGGCCGAGCACACCGCAGTACAGGAACTTATGTTTCCTGTACCCGGGCGGCCGGAAATGAAGTGCTCACAGAGAGAGCACTTCCTGTCCGCCGGGTACAGGAAACATAAGTTCCTGTACCGCGGTGCGCTTGGCCACGCTACAAGGTAGGAGCTCAAGGAGGGGGGAGGGGGGACCTGAGTGGGAGAGGGATGAGGGATGGGGATGGGGGACCTGGGAGAGCATGGGGGAACTGAGGGAGAGCCATGGGGGGGAGGAGAGCGGAGGAGAGCCATGGGGGGGGGGGAAACTGAGGGGGGAGGGGAGCCTGGGAAGAGAGGGGGGAAACCGAGGGAGAGCCATGGGAGGGGGGGACACCTGAGTAGGAGAAAATGGGGAACCGAGGAGAGTCATGGGGGGGAACTGAGGGAGAGCCATGGGGGACTGAGTGGGAGAGATGGGGAAACCGAGGGAGAGAGATGGGGGGCTAAACTGGAGTGGGAGAGAGAAACTGAGTGGGAGAGAGATGGGGGCTAAACTGAGTGGGAGAGAGATGGGGGGCTAAACTGAGTGGGAGAGAGATGGGGGGACTGAGTGGGAGAGATATGGAGGGGGAACTGAGTGGGAGAGATATGGGGGGGAACTGAGGGAGAGATGGGGGAGAAAACTGAGTGTGGGACGGGGGGTGAGGGGGGACGACATACACACAGCACCCCTGCCCTACACATATCACCCCACACAAAGACACCCACACATCACCCTACCCACACATCACATCACCCCACCCACACACACACACAAACACATACAATGTACCCCTCAATGCAGTGTGTGTACACTCCGCAGTCTGTCTGTGTGTGTACACTCAGCAGTCTGTCTGTGTGTGTACACTCAGCAGTCTGTCTGTGTGTGTACACTCAGAAGTCTGTCTGTGTGTGTATACTCAGCAGTCTGTCTGTGTGTGTGTGTGCGTGTGTATTTAGCAGTCTGTGTGTGTATTCAGCAGACTGTGTACTCAGCAGTCTGTGTGTGTATTCAGCAGTCTGCTAAGTACACAGACAGACTGCTAAGTACACAGACAGACAGACTGCTAAATACACACACAGAGATGTTAATTAGTTCTGACAACTGAATGAGTTGTTTTTTCGAAACTTAAACCTCAGTATTCAGGTTTAAATGCCGTTTTGGCACTTTGAGGGGAAAAAAATTGGCATGTATTACGGTTTGGGCACTCGGGCTCAAAAAGGTTCGCCATCACTGCCCTAGACTCAGTTAGCTACCGACGCATATCGCACCCTGACTGAACAACCAACCCTACAACCCCAGGCTCCGGGCCTGAGGCGGACCCCCTGTGGGGGACAAGGCGAGGCCCGCGGGTGA